CTTCCATTATCTTGCTATGAACAGGTTTGAATATATATAACCTCAAGATATCGTTGAGCAGCTTCAGAAGACAAACCAATTGTCACAGCAGCTAAGCCAATAAGACCACCCTATTAAAAAAAAAACAAATAAATCGAAAATCCTCGAATCTAAAGTAAAACAATCGATGAAAATTGCAAACCTTTCGATGATTTGCTTGAGGGGATTTAACAAATTCCTCAATCAACATGTCAATGATTTTGGAGATCTTGTCATAATCACCGGCATTCCTTAATCTCTTTGCAATATACTCAAGCTACGATTAGAAAAGAGGATAGTTATATACATCATCATCATCACAGATAGTGAAAGAGCAAAAATCCTATTAAAAAGAAACAAATAAATCGAAAATCCTCGAATCTAAAGTAAAACAATCGATGAAAATTGTAAACCTTTCGATGATTTGCTTGAGGGGATTTAGCAAATTTCTCAATCAACATGTCAATGACTTTGGAGATCTTGTCATAATCACCAGCATTCCTTAATCTTTTTGCAATATACTCAAGCTACGATTAGAAAAGGGGATAGTTATATAGATCATCATCATCACAGATAGTGAAAGAGCAAAAATCCTAAAACGGTAAGAGGCAAAGTTATATACATCAAGAGCTGCATCTTTCCCCAATTCAGTGAAATCAGATGCATTTATAGGTCTTGATAATGATGTTATCAAAATCAGTTTCTGCATCAAGAGCTGCATTTTTCCCCAATCCAGTTTCTGCAAAATCAAAACCACATCAACAAATCAGATTCTATTGAGATCACACTAATTTGCAAATCACATCTCAAAAACCCTAACCTGTAGTTGCTGGAGTAAATGACTTGAATTGTCTGCATAAAAGAAACAGGACTGTATCGAAGACTGACATTACCCAACACAATGTTCATACAAAACACAAAAGACATACCCAAATCAATTGTTTAACCTTGAGAACTTTGATCACAATATAAGCTCCAATCGATGAACATATGAAATGAACACATGAAACCGATAAAGNAAACTTGAAATCCAGTTTCTGCAAAATCAAAACCACATCAACAAAATCAGGTTAACTGAAAAAGGGTTTCAATTATTGATCCCAATTATTTTCACAATCAAATCTTAGATCCGAATTGACAGATAAACAAAGAAAACACAAACATAATCCAGAATTAAACACAAAATAAACATCTTGGGGAGTTAAAATCAAACCTTGCTAAAGATTATGAGAGATCTTTGACAGATCGCTTGAGATCGAGAGATTGTGCGAAAGAGAAGAAGAAGAATTATCTTCGATTGAAAGAGATTTTGTTGAGATCGAGAGAAAGAGAGATGAAATTCATCTTGTCGAAGAAGAAGAAGACTATCCCTCGATGACCCAGATTTTTTTTGAGTGAATATTTACAATTATGCCATTAATGAAACGGGTCAGCGAACCGGGTCGCGCGCGGATCTGTGTGTGCAGTCGAATCCAGTCCCAAAAATATCTGAAATTGATCTGATAATTACTGAAATTACCATTGCATATGTACAAAATTACCCTTTTCAATTGAATTTTTTAGTTTAAAAGCAATAACAATTTGAGTAATATTAGAATGAATTTTGGATATTTTGCTAAATGTACTTCTATTTTAATATTATAGAGATATCTAATTTTTGTTAACTGTCGAGATTTATTTTGTTAAGTGATAGGCATGTGTAACACCCGTTCCCGATCATCTTGTGTTATCGCGCCCTAACTTGAAATACAATCAACATACATGCACACATTAAAAGAAAGGGGATGAGTAATAAATTATTCAGTCACAAGATCATCTCTGCCCACCAAAACATACTATTATAAAACAATAATCAAAACACATAAACCTAGACACTAGCAACCATATAACATGTTTTACTTACCAATCCATAACGTACCTAACATAGTTAGGTTCAGCCATCTTTGTGATACACCTTTATTACCTTTATGTCAGGGGGCTGGCCCTTGTGGCTCAGAAACTCCCATACCAAGCTCGTCAGCCGTTTATGAGCAACAATGAGTATGCCAATCCACTATAGACCAACCAAAAAGAAAAAAACTATGTATAACATTTAGATCTAAACTTACATGTCATAAATCATGTAATATAATAGAAAAATGTGGACTATGTTTCCACAGACCCACCGTCAGCTTAGCGACCGACAAGACAAGCTTAAAAAACTGTGAAACTGCAATCCAGAATGATCCTTGCTCGACTGAGCTCTCGCTCTTAAACCTCATCCTTCTTCTTACACAAACTCTTCCAATGAGTCCAGAAGAAGCCCACCCAACCAAACATTACAGTTCAACAAACTTGGTCGATTACATAAAGTGCACCAAACATGCTCCAAAAAATGCATATCATAGACAAACTACTCGTCCAATTGTCGAGATACTAATGTCATAAACAACTACAACAAATTTAGCTCGATCACACTTCACTTGATACTCCAAATAAACCCTCAAAGCAGCTGCGTTGGAACTGTGGTTGGACTGTCATAATCTTATTGCCTGCGCCTAAGAAACGTGTCCACACAGCGCCTCCAGTGGAACTAGGGTTCCGTAGTTATACCTATGGAAATCTGAGAACGTCACGGTCACGTTGTCACCAGCGACGAAGCCATCCGTCATCCGATGCTCTAGACACCGTCGGCAAAGCTCCGAAGTTACCCTCTCGAAATTGTCCAACTTTCCCTTTCTCTCTTTTGCTTGATTCTCCGCCACTTGCTCTCGGTTGTGGATCTGATGCACAACCTTGACGACGAAGTTTCAGTCACCACGGATTACCTATGTCTCACTATCGCTGTCCGTCCGGCTGTTGTTGCCCTCGCCGGAACCACCGTAGCCTCTGTCGGCCCCACCGTAACG